AGTTTTTAGCTTGAAAAGTAAACTGATAAAACTCACAGCTAGTATCGCTTTAAAATTGTGCTTAAAAACTGTACGCATATTATTAATAAATACTAAATTGAGGGGAATAAAGGCAGAAAGTCAAACCATGTCAGAGTATACAAATGATTAATAAAAATTATAAATGTACATGTACCTGTACATGTATTGAAATATAAAGTAAAAAAAAAACAATAGTCATACAGTCCCTTGTTCAAAACAATTTTCAAGAACCAAAGATTTTAATATTTCACAAACAAAAAAGACTCACCTGAATAATATATTTTCAGTTTGTGCATGGTAGGTCTGTTTCTCACGTCCGAGATATTCTATCACAGCATTGTACATCTCGTCCTTCCGGGACAATCCATCTTTCAACCCCGAACTGCGACACAAAAGTATATATTGTATAAGACTGAATTTCTTTATATAAATGTGCATCACACCCCACCCTTTTCAGGGATGGGGCAGACAGGTTAAATTTCAATACTTGTACAGTACACTACTCTGTATATTAAAATTTTAATAGTAATAAAATTGTACACATGCATCCAAAACAGATACCACCAGTCTGACAACAACAACACGCACGCACGCACGCACGCACGCACGCACGCACACACACACATTGTTGTTTTATTTTATTTTTATATTTGTTATAAATACTCGAAAATTGGTGATTTACGAAAATTGGTTACATTATTCTCCGAGACGCACGCACGCACGCACGCACGCACGCACGCACACACACAGTATTGTTGTTTGAATTTTGTATTTATTTGTTAATACTCGAAAACTGATGATTGTGAACGTAAAACATTTGCACCTACCTTGTCGTTTTCGCTGGGGGGAGGGTTTTGGTAGATTTGCTACCGGAGGCCTTCTTAAGAACATCGAACACATTGACAGTGGGAGTAAGGCAGGACTTTGGATCTAACTCTCTGTCATCCCTACAAGATCTGTCGTCATCGGCATCCGGAATGCATGAAACTTTGAGAAATCGGTATTCAAATGCACTCACAACAACGACAACAGGCGAGCAATACATTTTCGATTTGTCTTCCAACTTTGTCGACGGCCCGTTTTCAGTGGCTGCCATCTCGATATGGCATTCTGCCGTGGGTGTGCACGCATAATCTTGCTTTATCTGTTCAAAAGTCTCAACAGACAAAGCAGCGAAATGTCTGTTTGCCAGCACGTTGTGCCTGGCACAATTAGCTTTTAAGATGCAGACGACGTGAGCTGTCGCCATCATGCAGACTGCCAGTCGCATCCGAGTCACCAAGACGCTCTCCCCTCACGTGATGTGCATCTGAGGTAGTGATTAGTTAATAGAAGAAGACTGGCCTCATTCAAAACATTTCGGCCCATTCCGCAATGCGCTCCACTGACGTGGGTACGGAGTCGGCCGAGATGTTGCAATTGGACTAGCCCAACTCGACGTATACGCGCCGATCGATGTGTGCAATTTTTCGGACGTATTACTACCAGCGTTTCACTACCAGTAGTATATACTGGACAACGTTGTTTCTATGACATTGTATACAGAATGTCAGTGGTCCTGCCGCTTGCATAAATCGAGTTTCACCTGTACTGCAGTGAACAGGAACATCAACAATACCGCCGATAAGAGATCGACGCTGTTCGAGCTGCGTAGACAACTGGGTTGTGATTGTTGGGTCAAAATTTGTCGATATACATTGCATCTATTGAACTGAAAATGTTTGCTTGTTTTTTTAAATTTTTTTTTATTGACATAATATCACATATTGACATATCAGATGTTTTTGATTTTTTTCCTAAATTATTTTTATTTTTTTTGAAAATGGAGAAAAAAAAGGGTCGGCCCCTATTTGCTAGGTAGGGTCGGGTTCTCGGAAACATCTTTTTTTAGGCCTAGGTATGGTATTCATTTGTGTCAATGGGATCTAGATATACAAGTAACATAAACCAGACATACATGTACATGACAAACACACACAGGACAGACATTGACAGACATACAGTACACTAACAGGACAGACAGACGCATACACATATGCAGGTTTACTTCCAGTGACAAAGGGCACACTCCTGTAGCCTCTATCGTAGAAACAAAACAAGCATATCGCATATAAAAACATAAACATTACTTCCTTTGACTGTTGTCTAGATAGTGTCGTAGCAGGGTGTTGGCTCCCGAAAATAAGGGAGAAAATGATCGTTTGCACATGATTGTAGTGTTAGATATTTATCAATATATATTGTTACACCACAGAGTATAAGCATAAATGAATACCCTGAATGAACGCTTGTACAAAGAGACATGTTTCAGTATACAACCATTACAGAACAACACTACACTCAGTGGCATCACATCAAAACACACGTGACACTGTACAGTCTCAGCCGTTCTCAAATGTATCTTGTGCTGGTATACAGTTCATCGTGGTCTGGGCACATACCTTGGTCCACACGTTTCTAATCCCATCCAGAGAGTGTAATGTGAATAAGTGAAAGGGTGGGGGGGGGAATTACACAAAACAAACACCATTTCACATCCATCATGCTGGCTGTACAGTATATATAGTTCATCGACGAGTTATGTTACAGAGACGCTGATTGGTCGAGTTCAACACATCATTGGTAATAGTAGCTGTTTGGCGATTGGTTAAGATTGATTTCACTTCATTTTAGGAGCTGTCAGGATATGTAGCCCATACGCTTTGCCAATGTTCGGGTAGAGCTAATTTTAATTGGTGGAATGAGTACGTAGTAAAAGACAGTAATTCCTAGATAAATAAATATAAATTAAAAGATTGACAGAATAGCTCATTATAATTGTACTCAAAATAAACACTCAAAGTTCATCGTAGGTTTTGGGACAGTCCCTCAGCTATGGTTGAAATTGACAATAGTCAACACACATGTGCTCGTATCATCGTATGCATATTTAAACACAGGCATAGCAACGTTTTTATACACAATCGACAGGGAGAATCAAAATAACACAAATATTGATATCAAGATAGGTCAATTTCCGCGTCGTATACACAGATTATATACCTTTATTTTAGTCCGACATCTCTCATGAACCTCTTCTTATCCATGTCGAGCCCGCATTCTCTCTGACCTCCAGGAATACATCGGTGCCCCTTTCCCTGATTCGCATTTGCAGATGTTGTTGTGGTCGAATCTCGTATGCGATGTGGCTTAGCTCTCCCCTTTTCTTTTTGAGCTCGGGAGGGAGGTCGGTCCGCACACTTATTCTAGTACCCTTCAGATTCCTAGCGGCGCGTAAAAATGTGTCCCTTTCGGTCCAGTACAGGAAACAAGCTATAATGGGGGTCGAGCCCGAGTCGCGTCGCTGCAGCCTATGAGCATTTCGAATGACCATGTTTTCTGCCATTTTCTTATCAAGTTTAAGACTATCTTTAACGAATTGTTGTACCTTCTCGATAGTGTCCGCAGGTGACGTCTCGAATCCTTCAACACCGTATAGTAGGAGATGATATTTCCTAGAGTATACTTGTGTGTGGAGGAGCGACATTTTCAGTTCCGCGGCGGTTTCTCTCAGTTTGTCGATCTCCTCAAGGTCGTCCGCCTGCGTCGACTTTACAGCTTCAACTTCCACCTCAAGGTTGTCAATCTTTTCGGTTAGTCTTTCTACTTTGTCCCCCAAGTCTTTGAATCCACTCTTTGTTGTCGTATCTAGGCTTTTCAGCAAAGACATTATCTCACTGTTTGAGGCCTCATTCGTCGCCATTTTTTCTTCCTGCACGAGAATTTTGTCTCGAGTTTCAAGGTCCAAATTCTCCTCGTTCTCTCTTGCACTTTTGTTAGCACGAGTCAGATATTTATGAATCGTTCCGGAGGTGTCCTTAGTTTTCCTTTTTGGCATAATATGCTAGTCAAATGTTAATTTTCATTCAGGTTTTTGTAAAGATGTACGAGAGCCATACGACACCTGACTTTTCACTTAGCCGCCATAACCGGAAGTCAGAGGTAGGCCATTTCTATCGATCGCCAGCTAGGAGTGGCGTTGGCTTAAGTCAGACTGCAGGATTCAGACAGCTTCAAATAAAAAAAGACAATTTGTTCAGTCATAATTCCTTTAATTATTTAAATTATGTTTTCTTCCAATTAATTCGTTTGTGTACTATCTCTTTCTTTGACCCCCCACCACCCAGACGTTCCGGGGCGTACTTCAGATACTTCGCCATGTCCACCATGATCCTGGATTCATTGGCCTTCGTGACTCCATCATTGGGCCAGTATACACATTTTCCTTTGATCCAACAGGATGGCAACACATCCTCCATCTCCTTATCATCCTCCAGCCAGACAGCCCTAGCCCAAACAGCCATTTTCTACCTGAAAATTAATACAAAAATGTATGTACATGTATATTGTAATATTCATGTAACTGTACTATACAAATTGTTCTACATGCACATGCAAAACATACATGCACATTTGTATTTATTCGATATAACTCGACAAAGTGTTTCTCGACAGGTTTCTACATTTCTGCCAGTGTGAAAATGAATAATTGTCGAAATAAGCAATGTAAATATGTTTAATGAACAGTAAATATGTTTAATAAATATTGTTTATGTAAATGTCTTGATTATTACATACATGTAGATTGCCTGTACATGTATGTCTTGATGTACATTGCTATCAAACTACTTGTTTGTCTACCAACTACAGTACTCGAAACGTACCAAACGGATTAATAATCGATTAGTCGATCAGTTTGGCTTAACCGATTACAACTAGTGTTGGGAATCGGACTGAATTTTCATAAACGATTAATCGGATAATCGGAAAGCCTCTTTCGATCAATTATCGATTATAATCGGAATATAAGCAGACATCATTTTGAAAGGCATATCCTTACTATTTGTGGAATTTATTTAATAGTTTATATGCATGTATCACTCTTTGGAATGCAGGGTTCTCCAAGCTTTTTCATTATAGCATG